ACATCATCGAGGCCGGCTAGATCAGGCATGATCGCAGCCGTATCAAGTACAAGTAAGTATCTATTTGTGTAGGTTATAGACCTACATATTTGCTGTTTTTTGGACCTCGGTTTAATCTGATCTGCAGTATACATGTTGCTTCACTTAGACTATCATAGTCTCCAACAGTTGAGATGCGAACGCTGAAAACCGAGCCACGGTTAATCAACCTTCAGCAAGGCTTGCATGGCTGGCGAGTGACAGCAGTAGTGGGGTAACGGCTAAATCTAATCTTGCATACCTTAGGAGAGTTGAGAAATGATCGCTGTAGACCACCGATTTGTTTGCCACCCTTTACATCTGCTTCCGTTGGCCATGAGTGACGACATTAGTCGGTTTGAGGCTTATTCTGCAACAGCATAGCTTAGGACAGTTGAGGATGGATCGCTTTAGACCTATCCTATGTTTACCAACCTTGATATTAACTTCCACAGCTAAAGACCCAGCGCAGTAGTTGGTATGCGGAATAATTTACGGTAGCATTCGTTTGGACACTTGCGATACGATGGCTGTGGGCCGACCATTTGGCTTATCGATTATGACCATAACTTCTTAAGGTAGACCCATCGTACGTTTACTAACCTTGACATAAGCATCCACAATTGACAAGTGACCGCATGTGGTCCCTATGCGGCCTATTCTGTAGTATCTCGCGTTCGGAGAGTTCCAACTCATTCACCGTAGACAGAACACTTCGATTATCACCTTCTACCATTACTTCCGGACATCAGGAGATACCGCAGTCGCCAGGGTTTGGGTCAGTCTATGGCAGCTTACCTTAGGACAGTTACGATAAGATCACTGTGGATCCACCGTACGTTCATCAGCTTTAATATTAGCTTCTACAGTTGAAGAGTGACCGCATAACTCGGCATGTGGCTTCGTGTTCACTAGCATGCCTTTTGGGAAGTAGAGAGGCGAAGGATAAATACAGAGCGATAGTTCACCATCCATGACCTAGACTTACATAGCCGACGACTGACAGCAGTAGTCCGTATGCAGCTTATCTTACGGTAGTTTACCTAAGTACAGTGTCTAACCGACAGCAGTATACCGCGTCCGGGTTTACCAATCTTCACCAGCGACTCATGAGGTTAACAGCGACAGCGGTAGTCGGTATGTAGCTTAATAAATGGCAGCATATTTGCTTAACGATCGCTGTAGACCACCCCTGTTATTATCAGCATTGAGATAGGTTTCCATGGCCGAATAATGACCGTGGCAGTCGGTCTGACCTTCAGTCCACATACTTGTACTTCATACGGCTGCGATCATGCCTGATCTAGCCGGCCTCGATGATGTCCCGAATTGTACCTCTCCACGCGTGACGATCCGCGGCAGCAGATCTAGACAGCTCAACCCATTCCCTTCGCCAACGACGGAGACCGAATACCGAAGGTCCAAGAACCACCTCCATGTCTTGACGGACAGTGTCGAGCCAGGTTTTGAACTGACCCCCTCTTCGACGCCTCCAATGGGGCAACGGTGCCGGATCGAGGGCAATAACACTGAGCTCCTGAGGTGGACGACGAAGAACATGCCCGAACCACCTCTGTCGTCTTTCTTGGATGGCCTGAGTTATCCTCGCGATGTTGTCGCAGCGAGCGCGGACTATCTCATTTGAGACGAAGTCGGTTAACTTCACTCGAAGGATGATCCTCAGGCAGTGGTGGTCAAATACCTCCAGTTTTTGCTCGTCCTCCACGCGCAAAGCCCAGCATTCACAACCGTAGAGAAGGACTGACCGGACAGATGCACGGTACACGCGAATCTTAGTGGCGATGGGGAGGTCACGTCGGTTCCACAGGCATTTCCGAAGGCTTGAAAAAACCCAGCGGGCAGCATAGATTCGGGAGACAATGTCGTCCTTACTCTGTCCATTAGGCAGCAGCCGCGCCCCGAGGTATTTAAAACTGTCCACTTCTTCGAGTTGACAGCCATCAATCCCCAGGGGTGCCTTCTCCTGGTCAGGGATGCAGCTTGAGAATACTTTGGTCTTCCCAGCGTTTATGGACAAACCGACTGATTTAGCGACCTCGTTCACTCGTGACACCATAGACTGCAGATCACTAAATTTGAAGCAAGTAAGACGATATCATCGGCATAGTCGAGATCAGTCAGTCGATGTCCGGGTGCAAATTCAACACCGCCACTGTCGCGTAGGGCCCTCCCGAGGATCCAGTCAATAGCGTAGTTGAACAGTATGGGTGACAGGATACATGCTGACTGACTTAGATTATCAGAACCTACACTTAGAAAGCCGCTAAGCGTGCACACAGTCGGGGCGTTGGCATTGACAGTACGGGTGCAGTCAAGCGTTCAATCGCATGAATCGCCAAACCACAAAACCAAGGCCTACACGATAGCTATAGAGAGTTGCGAAACCATCGTCTTAGACCCTACCTTCCTTTTGCAACGAATGGCAGTTTACTGTAGGACAGTTGGGATAAGATCGCAGTGGATCAAGTGTAGAGCATGCGATATGCTTCCATTGCTGAAGTGCGACCGCGGCAGTCGATATGTGCCTTCGTACACACTAGCATTCCTTTGGCGCAGTCAGAGATCGAACATTGCAGACCAAACGATTGCTTAACATCCATGCAAGAGGCTATTACGGTCGACGATTGTCGCCATCAGACCTTATTCGGCTTATTCAGCCATAACATACGACGGCTTAGTCGCAAAAGGCTCACTGTGCATCCCTTACGATTGTAGTGGAACAATCGCCATAGACCGACCACACTTGATAACAATGTCATAAGCATCCACATTTGAGGCATCGGTCTAGAAAACTTGATGGCACGCGTTCCTGAACTTCGCAGGCTTCAATGAAAACTGCGATCAGCATTCAACGGAGTCTGGTCATATTCCCCGCTTTCAACAGTGACCTCAATTGTTGCCGGCCTACTTGCACGCACTACTTGGACTTTCCACGACCGCCTACCTTAGGCTGGCCCTACGTTCTCATCATGTCTGGGAGTGCACGTGCAGAAGCCCTGTCAGCATGACTTTCTTCTTCGCTTTCACCGCCCCGAGAACGCGGCGCTGCAAATATGTCCATATAAACTTATTGTATTGCACCCTCCACACGGAAATCTTTTGTAAAAGGCGAAAGACTTATCCTAGGCTTTGACATGTTTCAGCCAGGTAGGTGGTCCACCTACTTAGCCCATACGTCCTCATCCCCTTCGCGCTCGTACCCGTACCCCAAGTCGGTTGGACAGGCATAGGATCGGTATCAGTATCAAAGTTTATCTAAAAGGAAAAAGGAAAGGAAAGGCTTCAGCTATATGCGACAAAAAGAGTTCCCAGGCATCTTTCAGACACATGGCGTTAATGCCAAACCATAGACGGTATTGCACTTCGTCTATGTGGGCCCAAACAGCTCGACCGCAGACGGGGCCTCCTTCGTGTAACTTCCGCTTCAACCGACTCCAATACGCCTCAATGGCGTTAGTATGACGTCCAGTGGTAGGATCCTTGAAGTGCTTGGAGTGATTGATGGAAGCATGAATATATCCTTCTGAGGGAAGACGACTGTAGGCCTTCCACTCGTCCGTCACCACTGTACTTCCTTTGGCTACCCATTTCGTTATCACGGAACGCAGAGCAGGCCAACTTCGATCGTTGACCTGCTCAAATATTGCTTTGCGCTTGCTCATGTCGTACATCCCCAACAACCACCACCATTGCCCTTTCCTCTTGCCAACATTATACTTCCGTCGACTTGCACTTCCACACCAGGTCCTCCTATTTTCTTCGTTTTCTTGAAGAGCGCTGCTGAGCAAACATTCGGACACTGGGCATACCACTGAACAGCTGTCCAGTTGTTTACATCAATGTCTTTGGCACATTCGCCAACCCGAATTCCTTTCAAAAACCAGAGGACAATCTTCAGGATAGTCGTTAACGTTAACCGACTATTTTCAAATATACTTCCCACTCTTACGGATTTCCTCTTCCGGCCTCGAGGACATCGAAAAGCAACACCGTCCGAATACCGACTGCGTCCTCCCAGTTTCATCCACTGCCGGCACTTGCACATCATCTGCATAGGCAACACTTTTCTCCGCTGGCATACTGAGTATGCATTAAATTTAGGAGATACTATTCAACAGTTGGGTACTTATCCAAAAATATTGGCATTAGCCTTTTATTTAGTTATTCACTTACTGTGGTATTTCCCTTCTCTCGATAAGTGCTTCACAGGTATTAGGCAGCATAGCGTTCAAAGTCATGGCACACACGTTCACTATCACTTTCGACAGCCAACACACCAAGTCTACCACATTACCATTCGCTGAGGGTGCCTTGGACGTCTAATCACAGGTGCTCAATTGCTTCGCGGGTTGCTTAAAATGGTTTATGTCTACAGCACTGCTATTTGTTGACTTTTCATTTACCGCGCCTACGTTTGTTGCCATATAGTGATAAAGTAAAACGTTATCATTTAAAATGTAATTTCAGAAAAAATTCTGTTATGACCCGCCTGATACGTGAAATCCCGTGGAGCGTATACGCACTCGACCCTGGATCCGGATGCCAAAGCAGCAGACAAAGATCACACGGCTGGCCACGGAAAGTGTATTGGCAAAACACTGCAAGTCCGACTAGCTAAAGGTGACGCATATTTATAACACGCTATTGTGGTTCGCCGGCATTCGGCCAATGACCTTCGGGAAGAGGGGGGAGTAGCCAATGGGAAGGCGCCTGATTGAGATGACAGCGCTGTAGAGATGTAGCGACCGAGTAAGGAGGGGCTCCGGGAAACTCGGGAAGGCCTGAGGTTGAATGTGATGGCTTGTGGTCTTTCGTATGGGTAGCCAAGGAAAACTCCTCTAAAAGTTGAGTTACTCCATCATACACACTAGCAAATGAAAGAGGTGGAGTGGACATAGTAGCGACAGATGAACTGGATATAAAAGTTTATTGGCAAAACGTTGGCGGCACGATAAAAAAAATAAGTTTAGCGCGATCTATAATAAAGTTAAAAATAGTGGGTACAGACTACTAAACAACTATGAGAATACAACTTAATCCTATGAATCGACAAAACGCGAAATACGGAAAAAGATTGGTTAGTTGTGAAATAAACGAGACGGAAAACGAATCGGTAGTCCAGGAATACGGAAACGATAAGGAAAAGGGGACTTAGCGGAGGGCGCGTCGACAGACGTCGGCTCCAATCCACGTGACCCAAACTCTGAAAAAGGGAGGGCGGGAAGTAAAAAAAGGTCCGTTTAAAACAATCGGTCGTTACAGAGAGAGAGAGCAAGCGCACGTGATCTCCAGTGATTGGTTTGCTCTTGTTTTTGGGAGTGTAGGCACTCCCAACAAATTCTTTATCGTTAACATTTATCCAGGTTTTCGAAGGCTCCACCCGTAAAACTCCTACTACCACCTGTCCCGTAAGAAAGGCTGCTTTGGTTAAGAGGATTTTTGGGTACCATCTCCCATTTGTTACCGTCCTTTTTCCTGACAATACGTTAACACGTTCGACATTTCAATTGCTCTTCTTATGATATCCACTCTTGAGGGCGTACCGACTTGAGCACGCCTTATTTTTAGCATTTGGAGGCGTTTCCATAGCATCGTAGCAGCTAAGCGGTGATAGTGTATGCTCACTGCGCCACAATTTCAGGCCATATCCCAAGTTTTAATAAGTGGGACGCCAGTTTTAATGCATTGACATACAGCAATCGAAAGTAAACAGGACAATTAAAAAAAATAAACAATGATCTCTTCTCAACTCTCTGAGCTGAGTTCATTGTAGTGTAGCGGCTAAGCGGTGATGGTGTACGCTTAGTTCGCCACAACTTCAGGCCATATCCGAAGTTGTTAGAAGCTGGACGCCATTTGATTAGGACTCTATTCTGTACAGGATAGTGAAAGGGAAAGTTGGCAACCGGACGAGGGTGTGCGCAGCGCCGCGAAGGCGGCGTCCGCGAGATCGTGAAGCCGTGCGTCGCCGAAGTTCACCGCCGCAAAAGTGTCGTAGCAGATTGTTTACGCCAGTGGTCTAGACTGTCCGCCATGTAACCAATCAGCGAGAGAAGTTATGTTGATTGGCTCGAAACCCACGCGAGGGTATTGACAAGCCTCGCATGGTCAAGGCAGAGAATCGACCGGATGCGTGGTGCAGAAGGAGTTGCAGCGAGACAAATCGAAGCCAGGCAGACGTGCGTGCCAAAGCAGGCTGTCGCTAGGGCGTATGTGCACACCCAGCGAGATGCTCAAAATCAACTAGGCATGGAAACCTAGTATTACTTATAGATGCATTTATAGCAGGACAATAAGGCATAGCACCTATATGTGCAATCAGTAAGCCAGATAAAACTACTGACTTACCGCTTTCTTCTTCCTCACCTGCGGTAATCGTATGAACACCGGGCATGTACTGGGAGCGAGTCCGACGACCGCGTTGATTCCTCTAGTAGATCGCTGGTGGTCATGTCGAGGGAAGGAAGGTTGTTGGGGGCCCTACTGCCATCTCGCGGTTCGAGTCCCAATGTCGCAGGTCAATCGTGGTCCCATGGCGAAGACGTTGACCATCTGACCTTGCGCTGTAGTAGTTGGGACTCCAAAGTGCCAGGAGGCACCGAGAGAGATGGTCCGGGTTATGCAGGTAGCGCGCCGTGGATCACTTCTTCATCGCGGGCGATGTCAAGTGCCGCTTTGAGGGTTTTGGGTTGGTCTTGCATGAACTGGCGTCGAATGTCTGAGTTATCAATGCCATCGACGAAGTTTTCGAGGATCCGGTCTTCTAGGGCGACGCAAGTATCCTCTGGGTGTGCCTACTTGACCAGGACACGCAAGTGTCTCTGGAAGTCGACAACTGACTCTCTGGCATGCTGGCGGCCTTCCCTGAGGGTTGCGCGATCGACCCTTGGCGTAGAAGAGCGACCGAACTCCCGCCGAGGACGCTCGAAGATTGTCGCGGTAGTCAGCGCAGAAGTGGTGTTGGCCGCTCTGGCAACGGCGTAGACCTCACTGTCCAGTTGGCCAAGGATGGGCAGTGACCGGCTCCCTTCACTGACGAACTCGAGGTACAGCTTCATACGGTCCTCCCAGAGATCGTAATCATCGTAAGTTGTCAGTTTTTCCGGCTTCGGGAGTTGGTCTCCATTTGATGACAACTTCTCTATCGCCTTAACGAGTCGGTCCAAAATCTCGTCTGACATGGCGCGATCCCACCGCTGCCACCAATTTGTAACGGGCCTAACCGAGACGAGAACCAATAACGTTACGCTAAGTCCCTTCTGATCCCCAGCCTCCAGACGATTTGGATAGGTTAACATAAAAATAAATCAATGTGTATGCGTAAGTCAATTGCAAGAATACTAGAAAGTAAATCTTAGCCAATAGGATCTTCGGGACCGTTTTTATTGACATTCTGGCTTAGACTAGTCTCTACAGGATCGCTGATAGGCAAACCGAAATACCCAATGGTTGTCCAACGTTGTGTTTTCGTCTTGTTATCATTGTCTCATCCATTTGAACCTCCACTTCAGGTCCTCGTAATTGTTTAACTTCCTTAAGGAGGGCCTTAGTGCAGACATCCCGCCAGATGTCATACCATTGGACTGCAGCATTCACACTTATGCCGACCAGAGCTGTGCACCTCACAACACCTGTGCCCTCCAAAAAGGCGAGGGCTGTTATCATTGCTTTCGGTAAAGTCAGGTGACTTCCTTCATGCACTGAACCAGCTCTGAGTGCCCTTTTTGTTCCACATTTGTTACACCTAAACAATGCATTATATTAATATTTTCGCATACCGGAAGGCGAACCCTCCGTGTGTTGACGCAATATTCGCAATTGCATGGGTTTTCGACAACGACACCTAACTTCCGACGCGAGGACTCCTTTAGCTTGCAAATATTGCACTAGGTTTGGGGACTGGATAATATCAAAGATCTGTGCGAGCTCCAACGGTTTATTAACTTGCGGAGCCGCCTTTCGTGCCTTCCTTGCTGTCTGCGTTCTACAAGCGGCAACCGCGTGACAATTATTCAACAAAATAATAACTGCCGTGTGCAAACCGAACTTCCCACTATACACACTGCGGCTTACTCATGCGCCCCTTAAGTAATCCACGTTTACACTTACCGTTCTTGGACTTCACTTTCCGCTGATTTGTTTTCCGTTGACATTTCACGAGCCCTCATTATCACGCGTGGGATTTTCGGGGGCACCTTTTCGGAGTAACCTTGACCTTCTGTACGTACCTGCTATTGGTTACTAAGGTTGCGTTGTCAGCTAGTCTTACCTCTTTCCACCGCAGTGACCTTCCGCAGGCTGTGCTACCTATGAGGGGCTTCTTGAATTTTCGCCATTATTTCACTTCAAAAACTCACCATTTACTCTTGAAAACGTTACTTTTTGCTTTCCTTTATTTTATCCTCCTTCGGCGCCATCCATTTACCCCACCCATAAAACCCCCTTTCCCACCGGTCCCGTTAGACAGGGACCTAGCGGTTGGCTTGCACATCCCAGGCTACGGATGATCTCGCGTAGGCGTGTGGCGTAATCTTGTGGGATGGTTGTATCGGGACTGGGTAAGGGGTAAAGGAGGTCGATCGGGAGGCGCATGTCACGTCCTGTCCAGAGGTAGTGTGCATTGGAACCGGTGGAGGAATGGACGGAGCCACGGTAGGCTAAGGAGACAGAAGGACGAGTGTACGTCCCAGCCGTGCTCCTGGCTGTCCTTGGAAAAAGCAAGCAGAAGGTTGTACAATGTTCGATTCGTTCGCTCCACAAGGCCATTTTCTTCCGGATGGTAAGGTGTGGTCCGTGTTTTGCAGATCTGCAGGGTAGCACAAACATCTTTGAACGGCTGGGAGTCGAAATTGCTGCCTCAGTTTGAATGGAATTTTAAGGTGACACCCCAGCGACTTATCCAGGTGTAGGTGATGGCATTCGCGACGGACGTGGCATCTTGTCGGAGAAGGGCAGTGGCCTCGACCCATTTGGTGAAATAGTCCACCATGACAAGGATGCATTCAAATTCGCGGACAGAGACAAGAAGCGGCCCGATGATGTCTAGCACGACTCGCTCACCAGCAAACCCGGTTGTCATTGGTTGCATTGGGGCTCGGGGGCGGGGCTGGGGGTTTTGAAGGATGCACATATAGTGCGCGATTGACAGAAGTGAAACGGAGACGCGTAGCTGGGTCAACCAAAAGCCTGTGCGGACGGCTAACTCTGTCCGGCGTTGGTCACAATGGCCTAAGTCCGAGTGTAGGTCGCTTAACACAGTGTCAACCAAACAGCCTGGCGTCAGTGGACGCAAATGATGAGTATTGTACTTTGTCCACATGCACCCATACCGGTTACCGGTCCACCTTCCTGCAGCTTTCTCTTCAGGCGGATCCAGTAGCCTTCTATTGCATTAGTATGTCTACCCGTCGTGGGGTCGACAAAATTTAGGCTATGGTCAACCGTGTAGTGCTCATTTTCCACTGTGGGAAGAGGGGTATAACCTTTCCACTCATCTGTCACTATGACACTACTTTTAGCCACCCACTTAATAACCATCATTTTCAATGCTGACCACATGTAGTTACTTACTTGCTCAAAATGGATTCCCTGCTGAGTATCATACATGGCCATTACCCAGTACGATCGCCTTAGCCTTCCTCTACTATATTTTCTTTTGCTTATTAGCGTTTCATCGATTTGAGCTTTAACTCCAGGTCCGCCTAGCACTGCAGCAAAAGGTGCGGCATATGCACCTATGTGTGCTTCAGGACCCTACTGAAAGAAGTAAGGCAACTCGGATTTCGGGGAGTGGTTGAAGTCCAAGTTGATGAGACCTCAACCACAAGATGGGAAGCATGACGCGGAAAGCCGGAAAAGGCAACACTTGATTATGGGTATTTATGATACATCCAAAAGAAAGCCATCTTCCAGCAAGTGGACGATACGGGTTGCTTCTCGCCTAGACCTGCTTTCGTAACGGAAAAGTGGAAAGTGTATGCCGCATCTACACTGTGAGGGTTACGAGCACTACACCGTCAACCATTACTGAAACTTCGAACAGCTCAGAGGCCTACCGGAGTCGACAGGTGCGCGCCTGCCTGAAAATGGCCGCTATAGTGCGTGCGAAAATGGCCACTGTTTTGTATATTCAGTTTATTTGGTAATGATAATAGGCAAAGCCTTTGAAACCCCTATTGATTACATGTCAGCTCGTTAGAAATAACTGTACACGAACAAAAACTATTCACTATTAAAACAGTACTTGATTCATTTGAGTAGCATTGTGTCAGAGAAAATATTTGTCTGGACCAGGGGTATTAATTCAGATTCCGACTGTCGAGGGAAAACAGGGGACAAATAATCATCCAAGCGTTTCTTGAAGAGTTGCAGGGATGTAGCCTCCACGACTGACTGAGGGAGATCGTTCCATTTCTCCACTACTCTCTGCGTGAAAAATTCAGAACGAAGATTCAGCCTGGACATTGTTGTCCGTAACTTCATCGAGTGACCACGAAGATTGGGTGAAAGGTGCCACTGAAACATGTCCTCAAATTTAAGTCCATACTCAAGGCCATGTATTATCTTGTAGACGAGGATAAGATCACCTCTTTGCTGCCTGTAACACAGAGGGAATAAATTGAGGCAATTCAGTCTGTCTGTGTAGGATTGGCTTTCTAGACCGTTGACCAACTTTGTTGCACGCCGTTGTACCCGCTCGAGGCATGCTTGGTCCTTTACTAGCCATGGGCGCCATGCTTGTATGCCATATTCTAAGTGGGACCGAACAAAAGTGCCGTAAACTCTCCCAAAAAGGTCTTGGTCAAAGTTAACGAACGCCCTTTTTATTGCATGCAGCACTCCCATGGCGTTTTTGCAGGCTTGTGGCACTGCAGTGTTGGTTTCAGGTTGTTCTGTATCCAAACCCCGAGATCCTTCTGTGAATATTCTGCGGGGAGCCTTATATCTTTCAGGTGATATGTCCTCAGGTTCTCATTTGAATGAGAGTTGGCTGGACGCAGATGAAGGATGGCACACTTTTCCACATTGAAATCTAGAGCCCATTTCTTCGACCACGCTTGCAGTCGGTGCAGATTATCTTGAAGGGATCTCTGATCATTCGGACCCTTAATGACTTGCCAGAGCTTAACGTCGTCTGCAAACATTATTTTGCCGCAGTCGAGTTCCTGAAGGCTGTCGTTAACGTAAAGTATGAAGAGCAATGGTCCCAGAACTGAGCCTTGCGGCACAGCACTGGTCACATTCACCCATTCTGACGTATAATCCCCGATACATACACGTTGTTTCCGACCAACCAGAAACGCCCTAATCCAGTTCAGAAGATCGCCCCGGATGCCGATGGCGCTCAATTTGTGAAGAAGACGTTGGTGCGGGACAGTGTCAAAAGCTTTGCGAAAATCGATGTATACGACATCGACCTCAAAACCCTCTTCTATATACACCATGATATCCTATCGACATCACTGGTGGCGAACTTCGATGACTGTGTTTTCTCCCACTCATTAACCTGTGCATTCTGTTAGTTTTTGAACAGGTTATTCTGTCAGAAGCTAACCTTTCTCGCCCGTTACTGGTTTTCAACTGCTGGTCCAGTCTTCGGATAGGCGTCTGCATTCTTCATTGTTTGCGATTGTGCGAACACTCTCGATACACTGAAGGTCAATTCCATCGTCTTGGACTTCCGTTCAAACTTTCCGTGAGTTTGCTTTGCCTAATTTGTTTCTCGCAAACTGGTGTGCGTGCGCAGATGTGCACTGTGTCAGTAGGTAGGATCGGATTTAGTCCATCCAAGAGTGTTGTTTACCTAGAAGGTAGTCAGAAGTTGTGCCCAAAAGAGAAGCAATGATTTGCCTACTTGGTTCTTGCTGCTAGGTCATATCCCTGTTCTCCTTTCAACTTCTTCGTTCACTGTCGCATTGATTCAGGCCCTCTTTCCAGAGGAACCTCTGTCCGCATTTGTAGCTTCTTCATTGAGCTGACAGTGCGCATGGCAGTTTGTGCTACTGGCGTTTGCTGATTCTGGATGACCGGATATGTGTCCTATAGGCCACGTGTAGGGCACATATCCAGGACGCTGTCCGTTTCTATGGCGCTGAGTATCTGTCCAGTCTTCGTGATGTTTGTAGTCTTGGTGATGCGCATTGTTCTGTTAACTTACGCTCGTTGCTGCTGTTGCATTAAC